CCTCCCTACCAGTTTGAAACACTATGGATCATCATCAACACACATAAAGATAGCATCCATAGAGCACCACTCTCCTTTTATACAAGAAGAGTTGCTTCAAGACCAAAGTACATGAATTTTACAAACTCTACAAGATTGTATAAACAATCTAAATTTGCATGTGTAGTAAAATTTGTGTAGCTGCAATTAAGCAAAATAATGGTTCTGAGAACACCCAATGTAGTTCAAGTGATTCACTTCTTCTGATTACAATAGGAGGAGTAGAAATATTGTAATATCTCATTAAAATTGCTCCACACCCTTACACTTTTTTTATGGGGGTTAAGTATCAAATTTAGAATGCTTCAATTGAAATGAGTACATTTGCTAAAGTTTTCAGCTGGTTGATACATGATTGTGAGATCAATAAAAGACGTCAATTTTAAGAACTGTATGAAAGATTGCCATCATTTAGAAAGTGCAACCAAACAAACAAAAACACGAAAATCAATTAAACAAGTTTGATATAGGGTAAAATTTCAACACATGGGAAACCACGAACACAAAGTTGTGATACAAGGACATCAAAAAGTTAAGAGAAGAAAATCAAAAAGTAGAAAGATAAAAAGCAACATAGATCAAATGAAGAAAAAAAAATGAAAAAATGAAAAAAAATAAAAATAAAAAAATCACATATTGTTCAAAACAGCAATCTTTCCTTGTTGTCCCTGCAACCTTGAAATTTATGTAAATAAAAAAATAAGTTAATAACCTTTCCCCCTCCACTTGTTCAAAACAAAACCCCACTCAAATCTTTAATCCAAACCTCACATGGCGATGTGTGAAAACAATTATGCCATACATGTTCATGTGTAGCAAGGCCTACTGCGTTAGGGTTTAAAGCACCCAATAAAGTGGGCAACCCATGTAACGTTAGAATACCTTAAACAGTCAACTTAAGGTTTTTTAGCTATCTCATGGGGGGTATTTTTTGGATTTTTTTGTTTAGGGTGGAGAAATAAGGTTCTGATGTGCTGCAGAAGAAAAAAATTGAATCGCCGCAGGGGTTGAATTGTTAAAAATGTTCAAAGCAATTTTTGCATTTTACCCCTGAACTGAGCCGTAGACTTAAGCGAAACCGGCTGTAAAAACAGTTAAACCCCCACCTGGTCGTTGTAAAATTTGCCGATCATTGGTGGACGTGGAATCCATTTGGAATCTTTCTACATCCTTCAAAGCGGTTTTGGGTTTGTACAAGCGCGGTTTCTGACAAGGTCTACGAGTTGGTTCAAGGGCCTGACAGGAGGTTTAAGGTATTCCGATGTTAGAGAAGGGGGGTGTGGGTAGGTAGCGTGAGATGGGAATCAAAAAATGGGGCCAAGCCTATTATTCAGTAAGTAGATGAAACAACACAATTTAGCTTCTTCTTTTTCTTCCTGGTCTTCTGCGAAAACGGGCCGAGCTCGTTGTACCGCCTGAACTTCGGAAGCATCATTGGCATGCGGTTGACGTTTCTAAATGGCGAAGTGGGTCGCTGGTTTTCCTTACGGTGCGACCGGCATGCGTGAACCCGTCAATCGGCTGTTGCCAAATCAGGCACTACTCCTCGACAAATGTAGCGGCACCAGGAACTTCTGGACCCACTGCCAAAAATGGAAAAACCAAAAAAACAGCCACTCTTCTCCCTGAAACGATCATGAATATCCTGAGAGGCGTCCACAATTGCCATGGGAGCGGTTAAATTTGTCTCCAGTATTCGCGACTGGTGTTCGCGACATGGCGCGATCGGTAGAACTCCTGGATTCACCTCATCCCGTGCCTCCGTATTGTTGGGGGGCCGTTCCAGCATCAAACCACGGAAATGGAAAAAAGGAAATAATTTAAAACAAACAGGAAAACATACGAACACAAGACATCGTGCCATGGAAAAGCTGTCTGTTTAGGAGCACTCCTTCGAGCCAAGCGGGAGCGAGCGAGAGAGAGAGAGAGAGAGGTGGTCAGAGCGGCTGAAGCTACGCGAGAAACTGTTCGATCGGTGCCGATCACATGCTCCCCCACCGACAAAAAACTTGGCACCCCACTTGGCCTCAGCTCCGGCAGCTGAGGTATGGCGCGAAAGCTTTCCGCGGGGCGGGAATCTCCATCCGCGGCGCGCTTTGTGGGCTGTAAACTGGACACAACGGTAGGTTTGCAGGAACATTAATAAATAAAAATTTCGGTAGGTAAGTCCAGATCGATGTGGGATGACTCCTAAACCATCGTATCTGACAAAAGAGGACCGTGTTTCTTTTCCAACTTCACCTCGTTAGGTCTACCTCCAGGAATAAGCTATGCTGCTGCTGCTGCAACTGCTGCTTCTTCTTTCAACCTGGACCTGTCTGTTGTGGTGCTGGTTGGCCTTAGTTTTTTACTCTGGGCTATATTTGGACTTGGTGAACGCGTCTCTAGGGGAGTGCCTGCGAGAATATCCTGACTGATTCATATCTGAGAGTAGAAGAAGTGATGTTTGTCCCGGTGGACATCGTCGATCCAGCGCCTTGGTTCATCCCCCATCGGCCATGGTTTCACTCGTCGTACAACAGTGAAAAGGTTACCCGAATCTTCTGCATGTTATACTGCCTTGGATTATGCTGTGTTTCTTCCCCCTTCTCATCCCCTTCACGATTCTGTGTTTTGACCCAACTTTGTAATGCATGAATGGAGGTGGGGGTGCGTCCTTGCCACTTTCCTTGTTTGAAATGGTTCCGTCTAAACCATCTGCACAGTTAATCATTTTTTGCTTCTTTGTTGGTGGTAGCTCGTGTCGTTGTGTGCAGAAATATCAACTGTGGATTCCAATTGACTTTTCATTTCTGTAATACTTATTTTGTTTTAGAAATGATGTTTGTGAACTCCACATGGTGTTGTAGGTGGTTAATACTGGAGACAAATTTAACCACTTCTAAGAAATGTAAATGACATTCTAAGAAGTTTGTTTATTTTTTATGTTTTGTAACAAATACTTTTTTGGTAGCTCATTACTTCTTTCACATGTAAGCAAATTAGACATATTTTACTATTCTAGCATTACATTTGGATGTTTTGTATACTTCACAACTCTATCTTTGAAAAATAAAATAAATAAAATAAAAAATCTTGTCCATTGATGTAATGCATTCTCAAAAAATGGTATTGTATATCTGTAATCATGGCCACTTGAATTCTTGTTATAAACAATTATACATATGTTTAACATCTTTCAGAAATACTTCTTGTGCAATTGACAATGCAAATTTTACCTGATGAGACATATGTGACAAGTTAGCAAGTGAAACTTATTTCACTTTATACAATTGGAAATTAGAAGTTAAAAAGAAAAAGAGAAATCATAGAAATCATCTTAGCTTATGTAATGACTTCAATGTTTGACACATTCACGTCAATTTCAATTGGTTATGTTTAACATGAACATAAATGACACTGACACGACACTTTCAAATAATGTTGAAATGTTTATCTTTTTTTAAAATCCCATTCCAAGACACATTATTTACTGATTGTGTGTGTATGTGTATATGATTGTCTTGCCATAGCATAAAATATTGTCTTTTTTAAAATTAGCATTGCCAATATGAACTGTAGCAATTTGCCAATGCCTAATACACATTACAATCTTTTTTAAAAGATTAGTTTCATTTCTTTAGTTTTCTTTGTTCAACATTGCATGCAGCCATTGTCTATATTCCAAATCTAGCCATACCTCTTGGATTGTAGTACTTGGAATTCATAGAATAAGACTATTGATTCGAGAAAGAGTGCTCAAAATTTTATTTCTCTACTGATAACACGTAAAATTATTCATTTCAGCTGTTAAAAAAGCGTTTCAAGTTCAATCTCGCTCTTCTTCGTGGGAACTTGTTGTTGCATCAACGCATGCTTGTTGCCCACGTCTTTGATTCTTTTTGAATATTATGGACAAGAATCTAACATTTTACAGCTCCAGAAGCAGAAACAGGATGGCAACTTTGGGGATTGTACAATTTGATAGTTGACTACACACTAAATAGAATACATATGTTTATATATATATAACGTGAAGAATTAACGTTCCTTTTGAGACTGAGATGGTGGTAACAAGGACCCCAGTTTCCTAGCATGGAACTTCACCTGAAGACTCGAGAAGTCCGTTTCTTCAGGCAGCTTCGCTGTACAGTGGGAAAAGGTAAAAATAAAATCCAAGTCAAAACAAAACGTAAAGAACACTGAACAAACACTCCAACAAACACTGTTCAAATTGTATTCGCAAGTAGTGGAATACCCTTCGACTAGATTTACCGCTTTTTTCTTTTCTTTACTTTTACACCTTCGATACCACGGATTTTGTCTGCTGTGGTCGACGTTGCATTGGAATGTATCGCACAGGAAAACAATGTCGGTGACTTGATAATGGCTAAAACAGCACCACTGCGATTTATTGGATGTGCTGTAATCCGCAACTTTGCATCAGATTATGATGAAAAGGAACTGATCAATTCTTTCGTTAATGTAATGTGATCATTTCAGGAGAGGTCCCAGAATGATGGTGCACCCATGCAGGTGCTGAAATTGGAAGCAATCAGCAACAGAACCAGCAGCGGAGATGGTTGTTTGTGAGGAAGTGCCGAGCCTCACATCCCGCTATTCATCGGGCTTGACAGCTCGTGTGTGCGCAGGACGAAATCAAAGCTAGCGTAGGGAATGCGATCAAATCACCCAATCGGGAGAATGAGAGAGAATTCCAGTGTGGAAGAGTAAACTGGCGTTTAATGGAAAATAGTAGATTTTGAGGTGAATTAACCGTGATGTCGTTGCGACTAGGTTTACCGGGGAACCAATTCCAGGCGACCCAAAGGCCAGTGTGGCTGTCATCGCGCAGCCCAGGCCACGCGTCCCCTAGTACCAGGCTCCTGGGACGCGCGACGTGGGAAGAGGCAACATCGCGGCCTTCTTTCTAGGATCTCCCTCCATCTCGATTATATTGATGGTGCACTTCATTCGTTGCCTCTTGGGAACCTAATCCTTACGTTGATCTATTTCGTCGGATCCATTGCTCAGTCGTGCCTCCTCGGCTTTCTCTCACTGTGTATTTTTGCATGAAGGCATTATTTCCCCAGTCCCCTCTAGGAATCGGAGGCGGCACACACACACACACCCACTGTGGTTGTGAAGTTGCGCGGGGGATAAGATCCTCGGAACCAGTACTCATATAGCTCCACCTCTGTCCCTTGCAGTCCAGGTCCACTCTGATAACTTTTTTCAGAGCAGTTATCCTCTCAAGTGGCCTTGATCATCAACGGTTGTTCACCGGCCACGGAATTATGGATTTCGTGCATGGAGGTGAAGGCGTCGAGATTAGATGGTGCGATTGCTTGGTCGATCGTCTCCAGGAAAGTTAGTTCGGAGCCTGGACTCGAATCTATGAGTGGATTTGGGTGCACAGCATTGGCCATTTGAGCTGTGACTGTAGCTGGGTGATTTGTGAAGTTTGTATTCTGGAGTGTTGGTATTCCGCAATGGTTCAGAATTGCTTGCCGATGTTGCTAGCAATGGGGGCCACTGGGAAAGGATGGGTGATCTCTCTGCTCGTAATCACGCTTGCGTTTCATGTCGGTGGACAAGCTATTGTGCCTCCAGTCTTGCCGCCGACGGGTACGGTACTTCCTCCTGATGCACTGCCGCCAATGGAGATGGCGCCAGCTCCTGCACCAAGCCTGGAGGATCTTTTCCCCCCTTGTCAAGGTGTTCTGGCCGTGTATACCACTACCTTTACAAAAAAGATTTATCCGTATCTCAATGAGACACCGTGGATTCAGCCCTACAGCTTTATGGCGTTGGCTTCACTGACAAATATGGGATACTCTACCGTCGAAAACTGGGAAATGGGAATTACGTACCAGCACAACGAGGTGAGCACCAGAGTATTGAGGAGCATACATCTCTACGAGAGAAGTTGTGAATGTTCTTACAGAGTCCAGGAAATTGCGATCTTCGTTACAGTTTCACTGAACGGCATCCCTCCGCAGTTCATTACGTGTTGCAAATATCAATTCTGTTTTTTTCAGTCAACTGTGAAGTCTGTTGAGTTCGTTGAATTCTCACTCTCTGTACACGAAATTTCTTTGTCCTAACACAAACGTGTACAGCGCGAAGCTAGGATGACCTTGAAATTCATGTTTGTGGGTGCAAACGAACCCCTGAATCAGGGTGTCGGTGACTAGCCTGTAGCACTTACTTTGAGACCGCGATAGATTGGTAGGAAAAGAACTTGCTGTGATAAGTGCGTTGTCTAGTATTCTAAAGTCAAATTTATGGGACTAATGGACCTACGTAACATCCAGCGTGTTACGAAATTGTGATTGCATTGCTTTTGCTTGTTGAAAATGAAATTTAAGTTCTTCTGGCCTGTTTTGGCAGATTTTAGTGGACGCAGGAACTGCCGTCTTGGCAGATGGGCGGAAAATGCCCGTGGATGTGTCTAATGGAACCATTTTAACGGGATCTATGCCTGAGGATATTAAGAATGCTATTGAGACTGCGGGAAACCTCAAGCTTATCCAGAGAGTTATTCCCTTAGTTGGTACAGAGTTCGGGATCAAGACTGACCCCATGCCTAAGAGTATAAACATAACAAACAAGGATTATAACTGCAGTATTCCCACCATGAAAGGAAGTAAGTAACTGTACTGTGATAGTTATGCAATTCAAAGATATTTTGATTGGTTTCCTTTCTACAGGTGTCTTTGGATTGTAGTACCTATCTAATGCTTTAACTCGCCGCTGTCCTCGCAGACAACACAATGTACACTTGTTGCTTGGAGAAGAATAGGAATGTTACCTTGACGGATGACGAAGAGAATTACTTGCCAGAAGAAAAGGGAAATATTACTATTTTGTATGATGTTACTCAGACTTACAAAGAAAACTACATGGCAATGGTTAGTTCTAGTGACAACTTTGGTGTCCAATTTCTGAAACCGTCAGTCCTACTTTTGTCCGTAGTCCTCCCATTACCATGTGCCATTCAATCACTTGTCCCCGTCAATCTACTCTGCCGAAATTTTTGAGGATTGGACACGGATCCGAAACTTGTATCTCTAGCATGCTTTAAGTGTTGAATTGATTTGCGCAGGTGCAAATTACGAATAATATGCCAGTTACTCGCATTGATCACTGGAATCTTTCCTGGACCTGGGCAGAGGGTGAATTCATTAACACGATCATGGGCGCTCAAACGTTCGAGGCAGACATCAAGCGCTGTGTGAGAGGTCTCGCGGGTAGGACATATGCGGGCGCTCCAGATGTGAACAAAGCTGCCTGCTGTTCAGAGAAACCGATCATTCTTGATTTACCCACTGATAGAACTAATGATACAAACATTGGTGGGATCAAGAATTGTTGCAAGAATGGTACAATATACCCAGCTATCATAGACCCTAAGAAGACGACCGCTGCGTTTCTGATGAACGTCTACAAGGTACCGCCTGGCAACGATGATGTTACTTACTTGAAGCCTCCCCATGAATTCAAGTTTGGCGATGGAGCGAACACAACTGACGGATACTATACCTGCGGGGAGCCCCGTCTGATTAAACCTACAGTCTACACGGATCCCTGGAATAGCCTCATTCATCAAAGATCGGCTGTGAAGACTTGGCAGGTACAATTCAAATTTGAATGTACTTTACGGAAGAAGTTTTACCTGTTGTCACTTTTTTCTGAGGATGTTCACTGCACTTTTCTATTGGCCAATCGAGTTATTACGGGACTCTCATTTATAAATGTGATGCAATGAACAGGTGACTTGCAATATCACCGCTGCAGTGAAGAGAACCCCAAAGTGCTGCGTTTCGTTCTCAGCATACTTCAACGATTCCGTGGTTCCATGCAGAAATGGTGCTTGTGGTCATCCTCTAAAACCGGCTTCGCTTGTGTATGGTACTGAAGAAAATGCAACCAGGTGCAGCAAAGATGCACCAGCAATGCTGCTTCCTTACGGTGCTCTTACCCTTGCCCCAGTGAATCGAACCGAAAAAATGAAGGCGTGGGCGGCGATCAACCGTAAACCAATCCCAAACCCTCTTCCTTGCACGGACAACTGCGGCGTTAACGTGAATTGGCACATTGTCTCCGACTTCACGAAGGGATGGAGTGCTCGGCTGACGCTTCTGGGCTGGTCTAACATCACGTACCCTGACTGGTACGTCGTCGTTGAAATGCCAAATGCCACGAGAGGATTGCAGGAAGCGTACACCATGAACGCTACCAGATTGCCTCTCTTAAACAATAGCAATGGTGATCCGATGATCAATAATACCTTTGTTCTCACGGGTCTGGAGGGGTACAACAACTACTTGATGCCTGCACAGAACCTCACCTCAGGTAAGATTCAATCCGTCATTTCCTTCACTAAAGACGGCACTCCGGGGATTGAAGTTCCCCTCGGAGGCGGCTATCCTAGCAAAATTTGGTTTAACGGAGAAGAATGTGTCCTTCCCGACACCATACCGACTAATGGGTCGCGGCGATTGTCGCCGTCGGTCAGCCTCGTCCTCCTACTGCTGTCGTTCCTGTGCCAGCTGGTGTTTATACTAGGGTCCCTTTGAGTTGTGAACAATCGAATTGGGTAGTGCACATTCCATACAGTCAGTTCGGTATAGCAGATTTGAATTTGCAGCAAATGCTGCAGTTGGCAAGGAGGTAGCAGCTGTGGACAAGTACCTTCTTCATTCTTTAGGAAGCGTCAGCTTCCTTTGAGTTGTATAGTAGACAAACAGTAGGAAGTTTTGAACATTGGAGGATGAGGTACTTGTCCTTCTTCTTCAGAGTCTGCTCGTTGGAAGCCCCGTGGAGTGTTGCAGTGAAGTACTAGTGGCAAGGAACGGTGGGTGTGCCTCTTTTGTCTAACAGATCTCTTTGCCAATAGATTCTCATCCCGCCTTATCAATCTACCCCACAGTACATCATTGAGAAGGATACTATCCTTTTTCGCTTTTTCTTCCTCCTGCTTAGAATAGTCGACAAGTTCAGAACTTCGCGTTATTGTCAACCTTAGAATCTGTGAGCTGCCTCTACAGTTGTACCATTTCACTGTGAATTACATGACACTGTACCTTCTGAATAAACCAAGAGTTGATGCAATGAATAAGGGATTGTTGATATTTGAATCTGTGTGGATGTGAAGCGGCATGTTGTTATTATTACTTGTTTTCTGTATTCCATCTAGAATACATTTAGAGTGAGCACTTCAAGTTTAGTTTCTAAAATTTGGAGTTACCATTCGAATAGAGCACAATCTGTGAGCGTCATATAACTTGGACCGCTCTATTTGCACAACGCATTTATTGAATCGTTATGAAATGAAGTGAGAACGTAGCTACTACCCAGTTGGCGCTCCCATTTCAACTGCTATATTCACCACTCCGGCTAGTTGAGTTACTGCTGTACTTGCGTCTCGGGTCAACTCTACGATGTTTGAAACGCTGAATGTTTACTCTTGGTCACTCGAAAGAACTCCATGTTTACGCACCATTTCAGCAATCAAATCCCTTCGACATATCACAGAACAAAGAATTAACTCAACTAGAACAGAAGGTCGAAAACTTTCCAGTTGTCTAGGTTCATGGGGCTGCTGCTAACGGAACTGTCCACACAGAACACGAACAAGTCAAACATGTGAATATCGCCGTTCTATCACTTTCCGGGTAAACCTTACTAAAAGAGGATCTCATTACACAATGTGTCCAGAAGCAGGTTGATTGTGCAAAGCTAAACCTATAAATTAGCTGCCGCGTATGCAAAAAATGCTTCGTCATTTGGTCTAAAACCTGAAATACACTCAACACAGCCACTGTGTTCATTTGGAACGCCACAGTTGGATTCAACTTCAAGTTAAAGAAAACTCAAGTACGTCATCGCAATCAGCCTGTTCCAATCATAATACAATCAGAAAAAATGTGGTGTCCACAGTGCGCATCCCCTGCATTCTGTACGAGTTCAAAGCTCGTGGCAGCAAATAAGCGATGGGCTGGATGCGCCAGCTCCGGCCATGGAAGAAACCCCGTCAGTTACATGCTGCAGATGCTTGAGTAATTCGCGTCTGTGCACATCTGGTGGGAGAGTTGCACGAGAGCAGACGCGCCTCATGGGGTGACACTGTTGAGTTGTGGACATGTCGTGAAGGAGGTCGCTGATTGGCGCGCACGAGCCCAAACAGGGCCAGGGCGATGGGAGTTGTGGCAAGCAGTTTCACCGAGTCGGACCCATGTCGGAAACTGCAACTCACAACGATGGACGTGGTCGGAATTGGAAGTAATGTGGGGTGGGTGCAGCACTGGAAGGAGCGAGTGAGTGAGCGAGAGAGAGAGTTAGAGTTAGAGAGACATAGGTTTGTGTGTGAGGCAGCGGTGCAGGAGTGATATGTCCCTTACATTTTGCAAGAAATGGAGCTGGCGTGGGGTAGAAGGGGTTGTGCGAGCATATACGTAGATATCTTTGCGCTTGGGGCAATGACGCAGTTAGTGAGGTTTTACCGAGACGCGTCAATTGCTGGTTGAAAACTATTTCCAACCCCCCTGCGGTGTCCGCGAGGGCGCCCCAGAATTTCTGAAAGGTTGGCCCTAGGCTCCAACCCCTAACCCATCCCCCAAACCGGACTTGCAATATACAACATGGCATGGTCCATCGAATGGTCATACGTTGGTTCGTCCTCCCTCTCTCCCTCACCTCGGGTGCATTGATGCGGAGTGGTCGCCTGGCAGCAATGCGACTTTCGGCCCAGTAGCGGAGGCGGCGCGACCGAGACCGCTGCTAATCAGCCTGTGATCGTATTTGAGAATGGAGGTATACGAGAGTGATGGTAGGATCCACCTGGAACGATTTCCTGAAGGTGCAGCGATCGCTGGTTGGTTTCCAGCACCCATGACTGTTGTTCATGGACTGGTGAGAATCCCAAGGCGGTTCCTCAGAGGATGTGATGCCGAGGTTTTCACTTGGCTTCGAGGGCCACTCAGAGGCTCCAACCTTCAGGACCGCACTTCCAGGGTGACTCTCCCGCTCTCTCGCTCTCTCACTCCCATCAGAGCAGCTATTTTCTTCATTCATTAACACAAGTGATTTTGAAACTGTGAACTTCTAAGAGAAAAAAACAGGATGCTGTACCAAACCTTGATTTCTATTCTCTTCTCTTTGCAAGTTGAGATCCCTTGGGTGAATTTGACCATAGTGGTTCTTTATATTGTTAAATGTGATCTTTAACAAAAAAAATGTCATTTTTAGAATAGTGACCTTTTATGATAAAGAAGACCAAACTTGGGCAGTAATTCCTGTTGTTGTAGGGTTGAAAATTACTAGGTTAATATTGAAGTAGGAAGTAGAAGTTAGACAAACTTGGTTGCCTCATATTAATGATCCATTTTTTCATGAATGTAAATAGAAAATAGAAAAAAGAAAACAAACAAACAATATATATATATATATATATATATTTATTGCTTAAACGATGATGATATTAACTAACATCTCTATTCTACTAGCATTGACTTTTGTGTTATAAAAGTATTTCAGTTTTATTTTATTTTATTTTTCTTCTTTTTCTACCATTTTATAAATAAATTCTTATTGATTGATTGATTTATTTATTTTTAAATAATGTAAGTAAAGAACCATATTTTATGAATTTTGTTTTAATGAATTCTCTTTCAATTCAACTCTTTTCCAGATGTTATATTCAATCAAGTTTAATATCCAATCTATACTTGAAATAATTATGTACTTCGACCAATTAATGAATGTATCAAAAATAAAAATAAATTTAAAAATAAAAAATTATAATGTACATAATTATTTACAAATAAAACTATGATTTTCATTTTTTCTTTTATTAGTATTTTCTAAAAATATAATTAAATAGGTAGTCTTAATAGACTTTTTAGTTCTTTCTCATTTAATTATTTTTTAAGATTACTTTTTTTAAAAAAAAAATGTATGTTTTGACATCTTAAAAAAAAATAAAAAAAAGTTGTTGGTCTTAAATTGTAAAAGCCAAATTCTAAATATTCTTTATAAAACGCAACTAATGGACCATTAATATATTTTTTTTCAAATACTATATCTACTACTACCAATTTAAATCACATTATAGAAATCAACTTCAAAGAAATATCAAAATGTTCTATATAATTATAATATCAATCCATCAGCTCTTTGTATTATATAAGGTTGTAACTTATCAATAGGTGATTTAATCTTTTTATTATTTTTAGTTGTTTCAAGGTATTCTTTATATCTTGTTTTAGACATAATTCAAATTTTTCTAAATTTCTACTTTTGTTATGATTGATTTTTTTAAAAAAATTAATTTTAATTTTATTAATTTTATTGTTTTTGGTATTAAAATCAATAAATATGTTTGAAATTAAATTAACCAATATGTATTACAAATATTTGGTTACTTTATGTTTTTAATTTTAAAATTTCAATATATAATATAATATAAATTAAAAAATAACATTTTTTTTATGAAGCTTCATATATTTCAGCTTTTTAACAATTTATAATTTTCCTTGTAATATCCAATTTTAAGACAGTGGGATGTAAATTTTAATTTTTGAAGTATATATATATATATATATATATATATATATATTTTTATAAAAACTTAAAGTTTTTATACAACTAGAACTTGAATTCTCAAGTTGTCATTAGAAAGGGTGAGAATTTTACTATATTGGGATAAAGAAAGAGGAAGTAATTCCTTTTAGTATATAAACTTTATTTTAAAATGCCTCATTTTAGTATCTTAGTCTTAGTTGTCAAATTTGTTTTTATAGATAATTTTACATCTATTGTGAGCTTCTATATTATTTTTTTTTAATTACATTAAATCAATCTAAGATAATATATATATATATATATATATATATATGTACATACATTCAACAATCAATACTTTCTATTTGAAAATAATATCATCGTATTGGTCCTGAAGCAAGCATATACTATTTATAGCCAAAGACTTTTATGTGCTTAGATTTTTTTTTAAAACCTATTTATTCTAGGTTCAAAACAGGTTACAATTTATTTTTTAACTATTTTTTATAAAGTTGGTATAAAAGACTCTTATTCTATTTCCAAATTGATTTGACTATAGGGCATTTTAAACATATATAGACATCAATTGTTAGAATAGATAAAATATACTATAGATTACATAAGAATGTAAATAAAAATTATGACTCTATTTGTTGAATCTATTCACATAGTAGAACAAAATTTAATGTGTTGTAAAATTTGATAGCAAAGAATTAATCTATAAACAATGATTGAATTCTAAATCAAAAAGATGTTCTTAGTAGTAAGTTAATTTCACTTTTATTTTTTTATGTCTATTAATATTATATTAAAAATTTAAACAAGGTGTGTTGGTATATTACATAGTTATAATTTTTTTTCTAATTTACATAAAGACCAAATTTTCTGAAAAAGCTATGAATATACCTAAATTAGCATCTAATTTATTTTTTTAGACTTCAATAAAATTATTCAGGTTTTTTTACTTGGCTAATAAAAAACTATTTTTGTAGATATAAAAACTTTAATTTATGAGATTTGTTGGATAATTAATTCGAAATTCAGTAATTTTTGTGATAAATAAATAATATACTATTAGATATTTTTATCTAATATTTTAGAAAGAATGGTTCTTAGAGAATAAATTTAATTTATACTTACTATTTTTTTCTAATAAATAGTATTTTAGAGATTTTAAGTAAATTTAGATCCTCAACTTAGTATTTTTATTGATGTATCTAAAAATTTCTGTAAAATATTATCTTATATTTTGATGAAATGTAATTTGAGAAGAAATAAATTTGGCATAAATCCTATAAGCAATATATAGTTTTATATAATGACACTACATTATCTAAGATGTTATAGAAGAAATGAAGGTCTTTCACTTTTATTATTTAAATTAATGTAGATAGTTTATAATATGAATTTTAATACCTATGTCAATATTTAATATTTAGTTATTTTAAAAAAAATTACCAATTATTTTTAAAATTATTTCTATATTAATTTTTTAATATATGTGTAATAAATCTATAAATAATTAATTATATTTTTATTTTATTTTATAGAATTTATTGACAATTACATGATTTTTATATTAGTAGTTGACTTGTTTCATAAGTGGATCTATTGAATGTTATGAAGAATAGACTCTTACCTTTATTTTGCACAAAGGTAGTTTTTATTTAACTTGAACTATCAATAATGTTTTATACTAAGATGAAAAGACTACCTAATTATTTAATTATTGAATATGTCTTCATAAGTACTTTCAAATAATACATTATAAATGTTATTAAATAAAATACCAACTACTAATTGTATTATTAAAAATCAAAAGTTTCTTCTAAAATTGTGATAGTTATTGAATCTTGTGATAGTTATTGATACTATTGTGATACTTATTGAATCTTGATACTTATTTGAAAAACATGTCTCTTTAAAATCTTTATTTCAATTTTATAGTCATAAAGGTTGAAACAATTTAAATAATTTATTTAGAAATTTTACAAATGACAATTCTTAAGGTGAATATGCCAAATCTTGGTTCTCTATCTTTCAAGACTTAAATCTTAGACTTATTCTTTTAAGATGTATACCATCTTGTTGCCAATAGTTGGTCTTTAATTTTCATAGATACTATTTATCAAATATAGTATAAAATTCTACTAAATTTTCAAGATTTTATATGGCTATCACATACATTAATTAATATCATAATTGTGTCAATGTATAAGATATTCTATCTTTTTTTATAAAAAATTGCCTTGAATCTAAAAAAATTTCTATTTAAAATTCATGATTATTATCTATTTTGATAGAAGATGGTAATACTTTATTTTTTAAATATTCTAATTTTAATATAGGACTAGAGAAAAGACATATAGAATAAAAGATTAATCTTTATTGATTGCAATAATTACAATAAATATGCAATTAAATTGATATATTTTTAAATAATAAATAGAAAAAATCTTTGATAACCTATCTTATTAAAAGATCAATTTTTTTTAATATTACAATAAAATAATTATGTCTTATGATTAACTTTAAATAAATTTTATTTTATTCTAAAGGTATTCATAATATTATTATTTTTTTTGTTTTTTTAGCCTCATTTAGCTTTATCATAATTTTTATGTAAAGATATATTATTTTATTTGCTAAATTCTCTATTTTTATATTTTTATATTTTTAATTTTTTTAAAAATAAAAAATAAAATTATGGATGATAATTATAATTTCCAAAAATAAATAAAAATAATTATTGAATAGAAGAATGTACTATGTTAAAAGATAAAAAATTTGTTTAATTATCTTAGTAATAATTGATTTTGCATTAAAAATACTATTTCAACATTTAATTCATATGTTACATATATCTATTAGTTTGAGGATAAAAAAATTAATAATATCTTAAAATTAATATTTAATGTATTAAAAAAATCTTCTAAATCTTGATATAAATTAGAGCTATCAATTAAATATAATGTCATTTGAAAGTCTAGGATACTGATAAATATTAAAATTTATTTTTTATTTCTTTAAAAATAATAAT